TGTTTCCTTAATGTCTTTTTATTGGTGCAGACAAGCAAATAAGCATTTCATTGCACTTGTGCATATGACAAATAAACTGAACTGAACTAAAGCCAACTGGCACAAACATTTGCCACCGATTCAAGTTTTCCTAAGCTGGACACTGCGCGGTGCCCGAGACTTTGTATTCTTCTACATGGTGAGAGCTCATTGAAAACTGATGCCAGTGAGGCTAACACAGCCTCCAAGAGAAGTTCACATATGAAACCCAGAGTTTAGTTGAAACATTTAACATTAAAGATTTTCTCCAAAATGTCCAATAACCTTATTTGAGATTTTTTAAGGTTTTCCAAAGTTTATTATTGGTAAAAACGTTTGTGTGAACTACAGCTCCATCATCAACTTCAGGACTGCTCCACGTATAATACATTTCAGAAAGATTATAAACCGAGGGTCCATATTTTTGTATGGGCATCGGATTTTGACAAGGCAGTGAAAATCTGACATCTATAATGGGACATTTTTTTGGTATCCGTAATAAAATCAGACACAACCTCAAAAGAGAGCCCAAACAAACAACACTACACAGGCCTTAACAGTCAATGGTGAAATACAGCCTGACTCCACAACCACAATTCCTCAGTGGAAAAACCCAAAATCTCTTCATTCCCTCATCCCACAGTACCTCCCTCTCTGCTGGAAGCTACTGAATGTTGTGCACTGCTACTTTGCTGTGTGCTTTGCATTAGTGCCGATAAGAAGTTAGCATGGTGTCATGGAGGCATTGGAGGTTAGCTTTATGGCCTCACAACTCCAGGGTCCTGGGTTTGTTTCCAGCTTCCTGTCTCTGTGGAGTTTTCATGGTCTTCCAGTGTCCACATGAGACACACAGATTAGGTTACTTTAACCTTTCCACTGGGGGAAGGGGAAAATAAGGGAAATTAGTACTTTGTTGGTCGGCTCCCAGGTCAGCCAATACAGGCTATGGCTGTTGTAGAACAAATTCAGTTCAACAGGCCAGGGATGGAGAGGAGATCATTTGATGAGAGGCAGACTAAGCATTAATGATCACTCTAGGGACACTTTTTGTTAAAAGCTACAGTACATCTTATTAATGGATGAGTTATACATCAAGAGTTCTACCAAATCAGTTTTAAATTGTGCTCTTCAAGCTTCAAACAAAAACAACAAAGCCTACAATCCTGATGCATACCATGTCCAAGCCGTTCAAGAGAGAGGCTTCTGCTTAGACGTTAAGAGAGTCTCGATGGGTTGGAGCTCATAGGTGAAAGACTAAATGTAATCCTGAAAGGAAAATGGCTTTCATGCATCAAAGGGTAAAGGCATCAACCCCCACACCATCTCACATGAAGAGGAGAACAGCACAAGGTGCCTGAGAAAGACAAGGCTGGGGAAAATAGAAAGTTAGGGGTAACAGAGCAACGAAAAGTGAAGACTAAATGGGCTATGGGCTGGACACACTACATGAAGCAGATCAGAAAGGGACAAAAGGAAATCATCTGGAGGACAAGTCAGGCCAATTTGGAGGCCTCATGGAGAATGGGGAACAGGTTTATAAGAATCTGCCTTTCAAGTACTGTCAAGGGTGCAAACAGTGGATCTGGATCCATGGCCTTTGAGGAGGCCTTCATTCTCTGATGATGAGGAAAAGTGGGCTCCTGCACTCTGCACTCGCAATGGCTGAAGGCTCATGCCCAAAATGTTTCAGCACAATATCTTGGAATAGAACAGACCTCTGCTGTATGATCTCAAGGAACACTTTCAAAAATATGGAATTAGCTCTTTAGATAGGAAAGTTCTAATTCACATGGCATTACAATGTGTTCATAAAGTTATTTGCATAGATATGTATCAGAGAATTTAACAATGCTGATTATTATTGTTACCACCTACTACAACCATTAAAAATAATTTAAGATCTTACAATGTTACACCCCCTTTGAATCTTTGAGAAAAAAAATAGGAACTCGGGTTGAAAAGCACAGGTGTGCCAGAGATGTTCTATTATCGTCACGGACATTACAGTACGTTACTGGCCTGCTCTGCCCTGCACCGACATGCCAACAAAGACAGGAAGTGATGCGTGACGGAATCGCATTTCAAGGACGGCCCTCGCTGAGGGCGACTGTCGCTGCCCATTAAAGGAAAAGCAGGCCTGCCGTTGGGGAACGGTTGCCCTCCTACGTCCTGTCATCAGAAACGAATCAAACCTCTTGAATTTTGCTGGCCTATGAAGTCACCATCAGTCATCCACTGGCCCAAATCTGCACTCTTTAAGGTCAGTCTTCTAGCAGGAAACTTTAAACCTAGCACATCTGTCCTTGCGGCTACGCTACCCAAACTCCCCAAATGAACGCCAAAGGTAAAGAAGAGGAAGTCGGCAATACTTTGAAGTATTCCTTCAGGTCCTGCTGTTCTATAGAAGTAACAAAGCAGCAGAGAGAATCATCTAAAAATAACTTGCTCTGGGAGATCAGGTCAGATATACATTGCATTGAGTTCAAAGGGATTCCTCTGTTCTTTGACCTTCACCTGCATTGATGTGTACAGTATGTATCCAAGGATGGAATGTGTTGCTACAGTGGTGCAGCCCAAGTGGAAGCACAAAAAAAAACCTAATTTGAAATGTGTTGGTGCCACTGAGGTGTTGATTCTGAGAGAGGGGGTGGGGTGAGGACTGTGGAGGATTTTATAACTCTTCAATAAATCTGGATCACAGACAAAACCTACAGTATATTTCCATTTCAGGAAAACGAGTTAGCTCAAGTCTCTTTGGATTGCTTCAGTACACAAAGTACAGAGACAGAGGATCAGTACTGCCTTGTACTTCAAATCACTACTGTTTTACTGGCAAGCTACCGTTCTTCAATGTACCTATGTGACAGTTTGATGAGAGAGAAAGATCCTTACTTGACTATTTGTTAAATAGCTCACAAATTAGACCACAATGAACTTAAAACATGAAACATGGCATGCCAGGAGAAACCTGAAAAATGAACTAGGTCAGGCAAAAACGAATTGATTTCCATCTAACCCTAACCTCATCAAAGGGCTGCAAAGCCACCTGGTTCTGATGTCCTGTAAGATGTCAGGACAGGGCTGGAAATCTGTCTCTGCTCCAAATTTATTGAAAACACCCAGCTTTAGAAAATGGGGCAATTTGCTCACTTTTTTTGCCAATAGTCAGGGCCACTGAACAGCTGATCGACACACATGACCTTTCATTGAACTCTGATCAATACAGATCGCCTACTGTACTTGATATTTGTACAGTTTATTACAATCTGAGCTCTAGAATGCAATAAGGTGAACAAATGGCAACAGTTAGTTATAGAAATAAAGGAACTGGAGTAGCCTGTGTTATCATGAAGCCCTTTAAAGACACCTAAACAACCTGCTGGGTTGTGGCTCTCCAGGCTTTGTGCAGTGACAGCCACAGTCCAGTGGGTTCCTCAGGCCATTAACAGCATTGTAGAAGCCATTCTACAAGCTTCTCAAAGCTTCAGTTTTTGAAAAAAGCAAATTAATTTGTTCAGTGAAAGCATAAAAGGGCAGAAGCTATAATGGAGAGCTACAGTATTTGTGTTTTCAGTTCTTTACAGGAGTGAACAACTGATTAAGAAGTCAAAGCTGTTCTAAAGTTTAACTTTGATGATTTAAGACCAGTAAAGTATGGTTGATAGCATCTGTTCAGGAGAAGGGCTGGTGTACTCTAGGTCAGAGGTTGGCAAACCCTTCATTCAACTGCAGATCTCCCTTCCAGTTAATCCTTAAATACTAAAATGATCTTCTGCACCTGCACCTGGATCAATTAGGCAATTAGGAATTAATTTATCAATTAACATACTGGAAGGAAATCCCTACAATGGCTTGGACTGAAGTCCAGACGAGGCTCTTTGTCTTTTCCCCAAGGTACAGCGTACAAGACAAGGTGGATACAATATGAGAATTCACAATGACTAAAGTCAGCTCAAAACACCAATTCAGACTAAACACAGACACCATGAATAAAGGACAAGTTAAAAACATTAGGAATCAGGACACCCGACCAGTTTGGATCATCTGACTGAAACCATCTAAGATGATACAATGAATCACCAGTGCAAACCAAATTCACCCCAAAGGATGTTGCAAAATTAAAAAGCGCTGTATACAGTTGATAAAAAAAAATTGCTTGGGGGAAAAACTGCATTTTAACTAGAGGCATGACCGAAGTGAGAAATCCTGACAGCTTTATTTCCCCTCCTTGAAAACAAGTCTAGTGTAAACCTCACCACATACATTTGAAATAAATGCCAGCTCCCATTTCTTACACATTCAGTTTATAAAGGTCTTACCATTTGATCTGAATTTACTGATTAAAAAAAAGTTATTCAACATTTCTTAACTCATCGGATGCAGACTGTCACACCATCACTGGTCCAAGGTTACAATACAATAATACACAGAGGATCCTTCCCTCTGCACTGTAAAGACTATTACCAGTAGTAGAAGTACTCTGGTATTTTACAAGAGAGTAACATTGTATTTTATTTCAACCTTCTGTCCTGTGTTAAAGGTTTAACAAGTGCCTATATATGTGTCTGCTTATGTCTTACTCCTATACTGTATGTGCTTTTAAAATGGATCTATGTAGAAATGCAACCACTGAGCAGCACCTTGCCACTCTAGGATCACCTACACACAGACATTGCAGGTCAGAGCCCAGGTTATTTTCTGGGGCATTTCAGAGGCAAAACAGTGCGTCTGAATTGTGAGCCTGCTCGTTGACAAAAGCATACTCGCAGACCAAAAATGTAATATCACACTCCACACAAACACATTCTACAAAAGTAACAAGGGACTAGGGGGGAAATTTCAAACTGGTAATCTGGGATGTAAGTAATGGCAACTTGTATGTTGGGACATTTAGGATGTGCGACAAGGAAAATATTGCTAAGACACTCAAAAGATGCAACAGTATCTAGTTTCTCCTTAGTGCTAGACATTTTACAGCTTACCATTGTAAGAAAGTCGAGGCTTGCTCAGACACATGATGAAGTGAACCTCCATCTCATTGGATGCTACAGACTTGGAGCAAATGGGGCACTTGAAACCTGCAGAGGAAACAAGACAGTGCGATATTCAGGACGGGGAGAAACAGCCTCCGGAAAGCTGGACAACCATCCCTCCAACCAACTCATGAACCTCAAACCTAAATGCCCACTGCTTGACCTTACCTGCTGCCACCTGCATACAGTACATTCACAGACAGGAAGCGTTGATACTCCTGTCCAGGTGAAAAGGGCAGAACTGTGCACGATGATTTTGCAGAAGCCGATTTTGGACCTACTTTACGGGAATGTCCGTATGCCTGTTATATAAATGTATATAACTAGAATGTAAAATAGATGTAGTTCTACTGTTATAAGTTAAAATATCTGAACTCTTAAGAAATGTAGTTGTGTTAATCAATTCAGTAAGTCACAAACTGAATGCATTCCAGGACAATCGAAGATGCTGTAAAAAGTGCTGCCGCTGCAGTAGGTCCAATGGTTAAGAAAAAAGACTCTGTGACCCCTGGGGTTCCTAGTTCAACACCTGCCACTGTCTCACTTCCCTTCATGTACTCTAGTCTTTGGAGAATAGGCAAAAGCTCAATTTATAAAAAAAAACTCCAAAAAAAGCAATTATGTCTCATTTCCCCCCGCTATCAGATATGCCACACACAAAAAAAAACAACATTTGAAATGAGTCAAATTCCAATTTGCTGTATTTTCATTAATTCCAATTTTATGTTTTGAAGTTGCCTATATGAAATGCCTGCTATTGCCTTCTGTTAATTAACACATCCCTTTGATCTGAACAGACTCCTTCTCAGCAGTGAACAATACCGATCAGCTGTGCACACCGTCTGAAGCTCCCGTTGGCTGGAGGTGAATAAAGCAAATTGTTTAATCACGCTCGATTTCCGCATTAATTCAGTTCAGGGCGCATGGTTCAGAAATAACACGTACTGTATGAAATACTGAAGAATAATAATAATAATAATAATAATATAGCACAGATGCATGCTATTGTAGATAAAACCTTTCCAGCACCAAGATGACTTTACCAGATTGCTTTTTATAGTATGACGTACTCTATGGCTGTTACTTCACCAGGACAAAAACAAGTAAAGCTCTGTACAAAAGTGCCTTTTTTTAAAAACAACTTTTAACAGGACTTGGTACCATCTCTACAAACATGAATAGGCAAAGCTAAATTAGGACAGAATTCCAGAGAAGATCTACTGACAAAACATACAAGGATAAAAGAAATTGTGAGTTTAACAAACCACATGCAGAGGACTCAACTAAACCTCTTGAATTTCTAGCACTTGCACAAATGCTCAAAGTCATCACTAAAAGACCTTAACTGCTCAAATCACAGCCCCAGGTAAAGACATGGCCGTCATGAGATATTCTAGGGCTGTAAAACCCTTGTTTTTTTCTTGAAGCACATGCTACCCAACATTTTACTTAGTGGGGGGGTGCCTGATATTTTGTCTTGTGGGGCGCAGTGGGGTTTCAATGTTCTGTACAGCAACATCAGACTGTACCCCAACTCAAAAGAGCTCCCCGTTATAAAACCGTGATGACAATGAAAGAAAGGCAGGTTAATGCAGACTATCAGTAAAAGACATACTGTATCAGTGCAGCTGGGGAAACACAGCTGTGTTAGAGTTCCAGGCTAGTCTGCAATGGAGACAACACTACTAAGGGAAACAGGTTGCATAGCAACCTCTTATGCTTGAAAGCACATAGGGAAGAAGGTGTTGCATATGTTTCAGCACAGAGATTAACTCCCCAGAGCAGGACCTTGTGCTCAGGCCCAGTGTCACAACATGACCGCATCACTAAGCATGAAAGCCCAGGCTGAACAGAGACATCAAGAGGCAAACAGTATGGCACCAGAACACACACGCTTAGAAAGAGAAGACAATGTCTTCAGGAAGTTTGATTTCATGAAAAACAACCTACAACAGCACAGGAAACAACAAAGTAACCATCGTGAAGAAACCGAGGCAAAAAACTCCCCACCTCTTCACACCGAACCAAGCCTGTCTGTAACTGTCCAGCTACTTGATTCATTTTACTTTCAGAAGCTGTTTCCCTTCATACCTGTTGTGCTTCAAATAAGCCAACTGCTTGTAATATATTACAAGTATTCAGCTCAGCTTATATAAAATAACAAAGATGCATGGATTCAGATGGCTAACAGGAGAGCCCACAGCCCATGAAACCTGGAGCAGATCAAACTTGCTAAGCAGTGGGTGTCGGCTCTCTTTTTCTGCTTCGCGTTTTGCTCAGATCCTTGCAGCTGACCGAATAAGGCTTTTATTTATTTTCCATTCACTATTTTTCCTTCAGTCAAACAAATGTGAAGAGAAACTATGTTAAATCCATGTTTGACCTGTGTGTATACTACCAAGCCCAGTGCTGGTTAAAGGGCTGATGAACATGTTTCTGTAGATTACTTCCAATATAACTAATTCTTTAGCATGTTCATTAAAAAATCCACTGTGGAATAGAGACTATAGGAAGACAGAAAAGACTGCAGCAAAACAACCACATCCGACTACAACTCTGATATAGCATTTTCCCCTCTACTGCAGTTCTTAGCCTATTGAGTGTATTGACTTTAGTGCTTAAGTAAGAACAAAAGTTGCAAACAAGATGAGGCCATTTTTATCTATGTAAAAAACTCCAGAATATGGTTCAGAAGACCTGTTCTTCTCTGGCTGGCTATTCCAGTTTACAAGGAAATTAATAATATTAATACCTTACACTTATATAGCATTTTTCTGGACACTCCACTCAAAGCGCTTTACAGGTAATAGAGACTCCACCATAATGCACCAGTATGCTCACCACACACCACACACCAGCTATCAGTGGGGAGGAGAACAGAGTTATGAAGCCAGTTCATAGATGGGATTATTAGGAGGCCATGATTGGTAAAGGCCAATGGGAAATTAAGCTGGGGTAACACCCCTACTCTTTTCAAAGACACCCTGGATTTTTAATGACAACAGAGACTCAGGACCTTGGTTTTACATCTCATCCGAAGGACGGCGCCTTTTTACAGTAAACTGTACCTGTCGTTATACTGCGGCATTAAGACCTACACAGACCACTGGGTGAGCACCCCCTACTGGGTCCACTAACACCTCTTCCAGCAGCAACCTTAGTTTTTCCCAAGAGGTCTCCCATCCAGGTACTGACCAAGCTCACACCTGCTGAGCTTCAGTAGGTTGCCAGTTTTGTGAATTGAATTAAAGAGAGCTGTTATTGTAGTTATTTCAGGAAGGCATTCAACATAATGAAGAGGAATAAAATGTCATGTGCTTGTTATTAACACCCTGGGGAAGCTTTGTAACACTTCAAATTTTACACAAAGATCAGTGCTGCTCTAGGAGCATTCTATGACAAAAGATACTCTGCACACAGCAGCACAATCTTTTGAAAACAGTTTCTAATGAAAACACATTAGCTTGTTTCTTTTTAAAAAAACTAACATTTAATTAAAAAAATTTGATTGGCCCAATGTGCTTATATAGTGGTGTAAAAACTTTAGACAATTGATTTAAAATTGACAATTGATTTAAAATTGACTGATGGCAGGTGACAGAACTAACCCAAAAAACACAACATTTAAAACACCTGAAAATCCAGAACAAAACCAGACCAAAGTAAGTATTACTAACTGAGGAACAGCAAAGCTTCGGACAAATGAATTGCTTTATTCCTGAGCAATGCAACCCAGGAGGTCTCCCACCCAGGTACTGTCCAGGCTCACAACTACGTAGCTTCAGTGGGCTGCCAGTAGCGAGTTGCAGGGTGATATGGCTGCTTGCTAAAATTGTGAGCTCCAGGTTGCTGTGCACTTTTTCACTTGACAAAGTATTGTTTTAAGCCAATGGCATTGTGTTCTTGCTTTATACACGGCACTGGATTTAAGGCCAAAGCAGTCAAAATAGTTTTTCTTCCTTCTATTCTGCCTCCTGGACTGCATCAGGAATCTCTCTGCAGCTTCCATCTGCTGTGCCCTGCATGCTGCTCCAAGCTGCGTGGTACAGACAAGGAACTGCAGGGCGGAGGAGTCAGGAAGAGGGTAACGCATAGGAGGACAGGAGTGTTTGTGAACTCTGATGTCCATCAGCGCATTTACCATCTCCATGCCAGCCACGTAGATTCCTTTTTGAGATGTCACCCCATCCAGAAGGCCTACAGATTGCCTCACAGCGATCTGGTCTGCTTAAAAAGTACAAGAGCTGCCTGTCGGCGCCGATTCGTCACAGCCTCTGCTGGAGACTCGGGGAGGCCCTGCATGTTTGTGTGTGTGAGCATATATCTGCATGGATGATAGGAGTGGTCATCAAGCCAACTTCTCTGACAGCTTCTCTTCTTTCCTGACAGCACTAGGAGTAAGGGGGCAGCAGACCCTTGAGAGAACTGGAGTTCAGTGAGGGACTCCAACACAAACGGCATGGAGGCACATGCCACAGCCTCACAAGATCTGTTGTTCTGAAACAGAGAGATGAGGGACAGGGGAAGGAGGCAGAGCAGAGCCGAGGAAGGGACAGGGGAGGCAGAGCAGAGCCGAGGGAGGGGAAACGAAGGCAGAGCAGAGCCGAGGGAGGATCAGGGGAGGGAGGCAGCACAGAGTCGAGGGAGGATCAGGGGAGGGAGGCAGCACAGAGCCGAGGGAGGGAGAAGGGAGAAGGGAGGCAGCGCAGAGTTGAGGGACTCCTGTCAGGCGCAGACAGGAGGGAAAGCTGAAGAGCAGCAGGCCTGTGCCCTGCTGCGGAGGACTGCGATGCGAGGTCTGAGGAGGCTGGCAGCCCAAATGGTGAAGCACTGTGAGGCAGGAGTAAGTATAGTCAGGAAGTCCAGCTCCCCCCCCGCCCAGCTCTTTTCAGCTCGCAACGGCTGACCCACTTTTTCACTGGCTGCTATTTTGAGTGCTTTGCTGGGCTGCGCAGGGAGGACGGCTCCCTGAACAGCATGGAGCATCAGCGAGAGAGGTGGAGCAGGAGGCAGAGAGAGATGCACGGGCGCACTCCAAACCAGAC